GTTGTTAACCAGAAATTATATCATTCGCTTTCAAGCATAAGAAATATCTGATTTCCCTTGCCAAAGTCCATGCTGGTTGCGTTATCGACTTTATGACAGTCGAGTTAAATTGCAAATGTCTTACAACTAGTTTATTGCAGAGTTGTTATAAGCTGTTAGGATATGTGTCATGATTTTTTTCTGAACAGTAATAAAAATTCTCACGGATGTATTTAATGCGTTTTCAGATTTGGATGCAAACGTTTGACGTGTGCTTTCACTCATTGGTGTTTTTTCTCTCATTCTGATGACAATTTTTCATGGAATTTGGAAGATATATGGTGTGATTTTTCCAGATAGATATAGCCTGAGAGTGACACTGCCATCAAGCCAGAGAGATATCTTGTTGATGATTCTTCTAAGAAAATTCAAAATTGGAGCAACTACTTAATAACGTGGGAGGGCTGAAACGGTGAAATTTTTGGTGGGGTTGGGATTTGAGTTTGAATAGAATAGGAGAAAACGACAAAGACAGACGGAATCAGATTCGCGTGGGAGGCCTGAAACGGCAGAGAGGCCTATCTCTACATTTAGATTTGTGGGGGCACTTTTACGCGATAAGATTGGCGCACGGTGAGGGCTGTTTTAAACAGAGCCACAAACATTATGACACGTGTTCGACCTGTGTGTCTGTAACGTGTTCGACCTGTGTGGCGACTACTATAATAAAATATTGATAGCAATAAGAGCATCCACAGTGGGGGGTGTAAATTCGGGGGTGTAAAGCCACTTTTACATCCCCTTTACACCTCCGGGGGGTGTAAATATGTTTTTTGCTCCAGTGGGGGGGTGTAAATTCGGGGGTGTAGCCGTGGGTCCCAGCCTTTTATGTTGACTTTTCTTCATTTTTGTTCTCTTTTCTCGGGTGGGTCCCGCCTGCAAGGGATGTAAAAATGGATGTAAATATACATTTTATTTTACATCCCCATGGTGGTGATGTATATTTACATACATTTACATCTCACCATTGGAGACGATTCCGATGACTCGAGGTGTATATTTAACATACACCCCCCATTGTGGATGCTCCAACGTAACAACTACTTGCTAAATATATTGACTGCAATAAAATGAGCCCCAACCAGGACCAAAGATGGAGAGGGTGGATGTGGACCCCACCACCTTGTTCTCTTTATTTTGTCAATTTCTCCCACTTTCTATTTTGTTGGTTTTTTCTTTTGTTGCCCACTGCTCACTTTTGATCCCTCTGTTCCATCTTCTCGTGCGTTTATCCCTCTCTTGGGCTGCGTTCTTGCACCACTGCTCAAACTCTTTATAGTCTGTTTCAATTGTAAACTCATGAATTTTAGTAAAAGTAAAATGAAATTCTTTTAAGTCCTTGGGTTATAACAAATTCCTATTTTTATTCTTTTTTGGTGGAAGAATGATAATTCTCTATCTTATAGTGTAGTACGACGGTAGTATAACCACATAGTATTTAAAATAGAAAAATATCAACGTAGTCCATCTATATTATAACACTTATATGAGCTATATTACGTGCAAGCATGGAACTAAAAAATTTCATGAGAGTTCACCAAGGAATTTCATAATGTTTCTAGAAATATGGTGAGGGGGGAATTACTTTTCCCTCATTGAAGGACATTCCCAAAAGTCCAATATTCTTTTGCTCTTATGTTTTATGTCACTGATGATATCAAAATACAGTTAATATAAATGAGGCAGTTTGTAACACTTTCTTTTGTTTTATAGGGATTGGGAGCTGATATATTCATGAATTGTATCTTTCTTTTTGTTTTTTGTTCTTTTGTTTTATATATACAAGCGTTATTGGGGAGGGGGTTTTTTTACATACACATACTGTCAAGGTGACATGAGAGTTCGAAATTAAGACCACTGATTTACAAATCAAGGCCGTTTTCCACTAGACTAGACTCTATTGGCTTCATGAATTGTAATTTTGACTATATTATAAGGGGTTGAAAATTTGACCTATTCCAATCCTAAACAATTTTCTCCATCTTCGCTCACCACTTGGTCAATCCCGGACATTAAAAAGGCAGTAGTCTTTGGTGATCAAACATGATTAGGAACATCAATACTTTGTTACCTCCATGATTAGTGTTGGGGTCTTTTTCCTTCGGAAGGCTCGTTCGGGCTTGTTGATTCTCGAACTGCTATAGAGTGGTAGATCAAGCCTTCGTTGCCCTCTTTTTTGAGTTAGCGAGGACTAGGCCCAAAGTATCCCGAGGGAGAAGCAAGTCTCAGGGGAGTACTCTGTTCTTCTTTCAGCAGCTGCTGTTTGGTGCTGATGTTTCCGGCAGCTTGACGAAGAGTTAAAAATGACTTGCTGATGTTTTCGGCAGCTTGAAGAGGAGTTGAAGATGACTTGCTGATGTTTCCGGTAGCTTGACGAAGAGTTAAAGATGATTTGCTGATATTGATATGAGATTATATGAGCTTGGCATGAGAGCTTGGAGTGTGGGAGCTAAAGATCCACCAGTTTAGCGAATGAGAATGCATGTGCTTGGCTTGGTGTTGGATATGCTTGAGTTTGGGTGTTGATAATTTGTTGTTTGTGGCTATGGTGTTTATAGCTTGGAAGGAAGGGAAAGCTTGGAGTTAGCTTTATGGATTTAAGAGTTTAAGAGAATGATAATGGGAGGAAAAGCTTGAGGTTTGAAGACTATGGTGTTTATAGCTCGGAAGGAAGGAAAAACTTGGAGTTATGCTTGGTGAGGCTTTATAGAGAAGATGATGGATTTTAAGGATGAAAAAGTAGGAAACATGGTTGTGATGGTTGAGGAATGGCTAGGATGGCCGTTGGAATGCTTGCAGCAGCCGAAGGGAGGAAGGAAAGTGGTTTGATGGTTGCTGGGGTGCTTGAGCAACCAAGAGGTGTTAGTCGATGGCTGCTGGGATGCTTGCAGCAACCAAAGGATGAAGGTTGATGGCTGGGATGGTCGCTGGAATGCTTGCAGCAACCAAGAGAGGTTGATTTTGCCTAGCAAATGCCTCCCAATTTATAGAGGGTGAGGGTTTTCCTTTATTTCCAATAGGTAAAAGGAGGTGCTGGAACCAGCCTATTTCCAATGGTTAAAATAGAGCACTGGAGCATGCTATTTTCCAGCAAGTAAATCTAGGCATTGGAAAATGACTATTTCCTATGGGTAAAAGGGAGTGTTAGGATTGGCTTGTTTCCAGCGGGTAATAGGGAGCATTGGGACATTCTTATTTCCAGCGGGTAAAGCTAGGCATTTGGAAAATGACTATTTCCTATGGGTAAAAGGAAGTGCTTGAAAAATATCTCATTTGCTCATCCACATTGGAGGACTCTAAGTAATGGGCTTGGACTTTGTTGCTCCCAAGTAGCTAGCCAAAGTCTCCATTATCCAAGAGATTCCGTGGGCCTTGTGGACCTCCGTTACCTTCCACACCACAATCCCTCATGCAAGCCCCGTAAACCACATAACCTGGGTTCATATGAGCTTGGTAGGTGATTGACATATGAAAATTGTATTGTTGGCTTGGCATGACATGCACACTATTTCTATATTTATTTAATGAATTAATTCCCAAAATATAGCTTGGATTAACGCATGACCAACATTTTATGTTATATTGGGCTTTAAATGTCTTTGGACTTCCCGTGACTTTTTTGGGTCTAACAAACTAATGTTTTTGTTTCCAAACTCATTAAATAAAAATATTGTTTGAATACAATATCCATCGAAAGTAAGTAATTAGTAATCAATAACCACTTGCATCTAATATTTTGATTTTCTTATAGTTAGCTTGAAAGCGATGCAGTTATAAAGGATTTTGAAAGGAAGAATGCACGAAGACTTGTGCAACGCATTAGTATTTTCATTGCTCCTGTGACATTGGTCAATCTATTGCCACCAAACCGATTGAGAGGAAGGACAGTTAGTGGTCAGCCTAATACTAATTGGCATGAACCCAAATTTGTACCTTTTTCTGGCATTAGTGCAGATTTGTTGTGTGCTATACAATCACAAAGAAATCATGTTTCACCGTTCTTAACTGTCTCTAGGGCCCCCACTGTTGCACAAGATGACATGTTTATAAGCTGCCATAACCACACAACACAAATTATCCAAACCCCTCTGTACGTCGAAGAGAGATTTCCACAAATGAAACCAAAGCGATGACCTTGTGTATTTTAAAGTCTGCAATGACTTTCGTCCTCAAGCGAAGATCTTCTTATACTGAATTTTCATTTTTTATTTTTAAGGCAGCTGATATGTGATACCAGTGCATCTTCCATGTCAATCAAAGTCCAAGTCGTTTTCTTGTCGAAATTTTTTCTAAGAAAATTGGAAGATAGTCATTCTTTCCAAGTTGTTTGCCCCACATGAAGGCAACTACATAAAAAAAATATCACGTATTACTGACTAGCAGCAGTCATTCACAAAGAAGTCCTTTCTACACAAATGGCACAATGTAAAATTAAAAAGGCTTAATTATTGATATGGCCCTTGAAACTCAATTTGAATATCATTTTGTCACCTGAAACTCAATTTGTCACACTTTACCCCCTAAAACTCAATTCTCCATCTCACTTTGTCCATATTCATTAACTCCATAAAAAATAACAGAGCATTGAGTTGTGAAGAGCAAAATGTTGAAATTGATAACAGTCAAGCCATACGTTGATGCCCTATTCATGTTATAAAAATCTTTTCTATTAATTCATATTAGACTAGATATAGTAACTTTCATGTATTAAGAAATCAAGGTTCACAAATTTCAAATTCCCAAAAATAATCAGTGAGAAATCACAGCAAAAAACACTAAAAAGATGCACAAAACGCATCGGATGAATATGTTAAAGCCAAGATATGGAATCAAAGTCTCCATTTTCTGCAAATTCTAATTCAAAGTCTCAAAGGAGAAGTTTTTTCTGCCATCTTGGGCCAAAATTGGGCCCAACATTTGGAATATAAAAAGTATTGTGTTTGGGCCTTCGAGGCACGGGCTGTACATGCAAAAATAAACCCCCGAGTTCGATATGATCCGACCCATTTCAGTTTCGGACAAAAACGGGTCGTCGTCGTCTTTCTCTCAGTTCTCAACTTCTCAAACGGAAGAGTTTGCAAAAGGAAGAAGAAAAGAGCAATGAGTGGAGAAGAATTAGCGGGCCCCCCAGCGCCAAAGCTCCTCCGTCTGCTTTATTTTGTCGGCGCTGGCTGTAAGTCATGAATTTTCATTTCAATTTGAAGTCTTCTTCTTCTTCTTCTCCCTTTTTAAATTCTGGGTAGTTATTTGCACTGTTGGAATCGACAAATGGCGTGAGCTTCAGCGCAAGTCCATTTTACAATAGCAGCAGCAGCAACAACAGCTCCCTGAAAATGCCGCAAATGCCTTTGGGTGATCTCCAGGTTTAAGGCAAATTTTCAAATTTTGTCATGGAATTTGGCAAGTAAGCTTGATCTTTGGCTTCATTTTGAGTTTGTATGTGCTGCTCCAGCTGAACTCGTGTTAGACTGAGCTTTGGTAGTTTGGTTGTTAAATTATGTGGAAAATGGTGCAAGAATTCATGCCTTTCAATCTGTTTGAATATACGAAATACCTATGTGTGCAAATTTCTTTGGCTTCATTTTGAGTTTGATCAAATTGCTAATCTGAGTATTCAGTGTACAAATTTGAATGGTAATGGGGATTGTCAAGATTTCGATTTTGTATACATTTGTGCTTCTTTTGTGACATTTTCTCTCTAGTTTATAGTTTGAATCGGGCAGTATACAACATTCTTGAGGATTACTCAAATAGCGAGATTATTGATATTGAGTAAGAAGGTGAGATTACTGATATTGAGCAAGAAGGTGAGATATTGGTGTGTTTGTGTATGTGTGCGCGCGCAGTGAGGGTTGCTATTGTGAGTACCGAAGAGCTTTCTCATCTTAGAATATGTATGTCTATTGAAGCTGTGGATTCTAATCCAAATCGAGGTGAATTTGTCATCTGTGAATAATGCTAGGTAAGAGTTCAGGGAGTCTTTATCTAAGATGCTTTGGCATGAGGTGGCTTGGGGTTCCCCATAGAATTACCATAGCATGCATGCTTCCATTTATTCACTTTGGATAGTCATGCATTGCACTATTTTATTTGTTGGTTGTCAGAACAACTTACTCTTGAAGATTGTAATTATATGTTAGTGGACCTTGTATTTGTGTAGACGCTACGTTAAACCATCTTCAAGTATATAAACAAGCATGTTTTTTAAGTTATTAAGGAAATTGGAACTTAGTGCCAGTATGACAATAGGCGATATGTAAGTGATTCGTAGGGCGGTGAGAGTTCGGTAGTTTTCTACTGTTATGTCATGGATTTTGCAGCATGCTCCCTTTCAACTATCCTCGGATGCTTGTGCATAATCAATTGGAGGTTCTAACTTCTAACTTCACATAATGTAGCCAAAACCATGAGGCTATCACTTCACTGAGTTCAGCAACCTTCACATAATGCAGGTGATATGTAATGCTAGTTTTCTTCGAAGTTTTCACTCAGTTTCTAAATAAATCTGTCAAAATGAGTTTCGTGATAACGGAGTTTGCAAAAATTAGGGGGATGTCTCCAACTACTTTTATATAGTTCTGTCAATAGTGATTGTTTGAGTCTGACAGTCTGTTGGGTACATATAGTTCTCTGTTACGGCTAGATGGCGGGATGCAGTTTTTCATTTGAAAGCCTTGAGGGACTTTTGGAGCTGAAGCTTTCATCTTTGTTTTTGCCTTGATACATTCTTTTGTCTATATCAATAAAGGTTATTGATTGGGCAGAATCATATCTGAATATGTGGTCAGGATTTAAAGTTTGACATTTCAAACTATTTTAAAGAACGTTTCATGGCTTTTAGATCAGCACAGGGAACATCTCTTCAAACCAGAGATTGGGGTCAACCCTCAACAAATTCTCTGGAAAACCTCCAACCATATATATGAATACAACAGCGGGTGTGCAAATAATGTCTTTGACTTTGCCACGTGCAAGAGATAAATCGAGGTCAGACGATTGCCATGTTTGGAAAAACAAACAATTGACCAGAGCATGTGCGAGGCTGGGCATCAGAATGTTTTACATTTTTGCCTGGTGGCTGGCTGCATCAATGAGACAAAACGCAGGCAAGTGAACGAGTTCTTATACAATCTTCCCATGTACGTAACTAATATGTTGAGATGAAGCATGTATAATATGTGAGATTCAAATTCGGAACAAAGGATATTTGTTACTGAGATTTTTCTTTTTACTTAGTATAGCCGCGCGGCTATACTCGGTTTAAAAAAAAAATTAGTAGTATAGCCGGCGGCTATACTCGGGTTTTAGTTTTTTAGAGAAATAG